TTGTTTTCTCCTTCGTATCAGGGAGAATATTTAGTCTGCTGTTTGGTTCTGAATGGATTGCAAGTCAAAAAGAATGAAATTGCAAATCTTCATGATCATTTTTTTGAAGGATATGGCGAAGCAGTATTTTATAGGCAGTTAGATGGCTTTGTGAACATTGAAACGTGAGAGAATGGAATAATTTGCCAGTGATCCACGCTGCTGGAGTATGTATGTAAATAATCATCTTACACATGAGCCTTAGTGATAGAGTGTCAATCCTCGTTTGCTCGAGTTTTGTTGCGCAGAATTCCTTCACTTACGGAATTACTATGTTATTGAATTTTCCAAACCTAGGGAGTGGAGCAGAATTATCTATGTTTTTGTTACTGGTGATGAGAAGTGCAAATTTAGAAGTGTTATGTAGAGTGTCTGCTTATTTTTCAATAACATTATTATCAATTAACACTTACTTTATGGAGTTTCTAATATACAAAGAGGCCTGTTTTATATTATCATTTTTATTGTTGTTTTTCTTCCTATATGTACTTTCGTCAAAACGTCATTATTTTGAATTAAAGGGGGTAGGTTCTAAAGAAACTGTGGTGTTGCGTCGGTAGGGGAGGATAAAAAGATAATTTGGTTATATCAACTGAGTTGATAATGTAAATTGGCCACCGTAAAGAGTTTCTAAGCTGAAGTTGCGAGCGTTAGCCCTTCGTCAGAGCGAATCAGGGCTAACGCTCGAAACGTCAGCTTAGAAACTCTTTACTGAGGCCAATTTACATTATCAACTCAGTTGATAAAACAGACTATCTCGTTAGTATTTAAGACAAGCTTTCGATTGACAGCCTTAAGAAGGAGAAAAAAACAATTGTTTGATCAGATTAAGGGAAACATTTTATGTTCATTTGTGAACTGATGCACAAACGCGGAAATAATTTGTGATAGACTGATTAACTTACATCTCTGCGGTATTGGGTGTTGAATTCCTACAAATACCTTACATCGATACGTTATAGTCATTATTCACAGAGTAGACGGTGGCAGTCACAAAATTTTCGATAAGCCTGCGCAACTTTCAAATATGCATCCTGTACGCTGTCATTTTGTAGTACAAAGTTTGGCTATTTTAAAATGGCATTTCATTGGTTACCTAGTAACTGTTCAAATATTTTGTCAACAGCTGAAACGGAAGCCGAGGGAATGGGTGATGGGGAACGTTGATGACATTTCTGAACGTCTTTATGGATAATTTTTTGCGAAATAAATGCATTTTTTTCTGTTGACCACAGAATTTTGAGAGTAATTTCTTTACCGTTTAATGGGAAGTATTCAGGTATTTGAACTTAACATGAAGTACCCTCTGTTTGAATTAATTGCTGTTAGAGAAAAGTCACTGATTACATAAGTACTGCTGACTGCGCATGTTCTCGAAAGATTTGCTTCGAAGGCAAATTGTCCTCGACTTTTGACTGAAAGATACAAGGTAAGTTATTATCTTGTTTATTATCTCACAGATAGTTCTTCATTTCGTTTGTCTGGCTTCTGCCATCAAATCTGATGATGATGAAACAAAGCAGAAGTGCTTGGCTCCGAGCTTATTTTCTCTGTCTTGTCTAATTTCCGTTTCTTAGCTGATTTCCGACTGTTGTTTTAGAATACTAATCTCAGTGCGCCTCTTATCCAAAATTTTGTTTCAACGAGCCAGTTCGCAACGAAAAAAGTATTCAAAGAAAACGAAGATCTATGTTATTCGCCTTTTCACGAACATGGGAGAAAAAAAATTTGAGTGTGTCGTCAAGAGAAATCCAACTCCCGACCATCAGACTCCGAAGTATGCAGAACGCATGTCACACGAACTTGTTCACGGCTTAACTCACCACAAAGCTCTGAAGGGCTCAGTATTAGTAGTTAAGCAGATGCAATTGATATTGGCATTCGGTTTTGACAGGAGGCGTCTTAAAGTTTTTTTTATTTAAATATGCAATTAGTATTCGAGTAGGTGTAAACAGAACATATGACAAATCTGCTGGTGAATATGCGGAAAATGTCTCTCGCTCGTGATATAATCAACATTCGAATATAAAATTCGTATCCACGTGCAGCCTTGAAATATCCTCTCGAAAACGTTTTTATTCCTATCTCTGATAACTATGTTGATATATAAGGAGCATACCGGAAATTTCAAGTCAAAACCGCATGATTTTAAAACGCTCTGTCTACATGCCCGGCAGCTAGGCATGTTTTCTGCACGTTCTTTAAAACTTCTTAAAGTATCGGAGGTTTGTTTAGAAATGTCACTTGATTTCAACAACTGGTCATCTGTTTGAAGAAACATTTTTGGGCAAAATGTACATGGGCACCATTAAACCGAAAAAGAAAGGAGAGGACACATTTTAGTGTGAACTTGTAAATGAGTAGAAAACAAATATTTTCATTTTGGCGTTCTTTTTAAACCGAAAAAGAAAGATCTCACCCACAGACACACACCTACACGAGCCTTCGTCATGAGGTTAAATATGTCAAATAAGTCACAGATGACTTGAGTGCTCCAGTCCCCTCTCCCTATTGGGCAACCTTTGCGTCTTTATTTTTAGCCGGTCTCCGTAAAATTACCCTGGCTTGCTTTTAAGTAGACGAACTTACAGGCTAATTCTACTCTAGGACACACAGCTAAAGCCGATCCCTAAGGTGTTTTGAAAGTTGACTGTAATCAATTTACTAAAATTGTACTTCATGTAAATCTTTTATTGGGGAGCTGCTCTTTACGTACTAATTTAGAGCGAGTTGTGAATTATTAACTCTAAATCACTTTATAACTGACATTTACTCACACTTAGACTTTACATAATTGTCAACGGACTGAGTGTGAACGAAGGTTCAAAAACACCAGTTTCCTTCACTTTGGTGAGCTACGGCACCGAGTATGATGACAGACAGAATTGGATTACATGAAGTCCTATTAATAGTTAATCATAACCATTACAATTTACAAAAAAAAAAAAAAACGTGTAGAGCAAATATCTCCAATGAAGACAATGTTTAAAGTTAAAATTCGTCCATTTTAGAAATTCCCCAGAGCGATTAGCTGCTTCAACTGTCCGATTACAGCCTATTGTCCAATTACACCGTCTGATTACAACTCAAAAAAATAATTAGTGAAGAACAAAGCAGTTAGTGCATTAATCTCATTTGATGAAATTGTAATGGTTATGATTAGTTTAGGTGATTTTCCTTTCGCCATTCTACTGTTACAATCTCATCAGCTTGTTTAATGATTTGGGCCAAGTTGGGGCGGGTTAAATTTTTGAAAAAAAAATTGTCTAAATAATGGGATGGTTATTTTTGTTTAGTTTTTGGAGGACTGAGCTTATTTTGATGAAATTAGTTTGGCAACTTGGTTAGTTTCATTGTCCTATAACTCAACTTATGCCAGACTCATTTTGCGACTCAAATACCGAAAATATGCAAAAGTTCTCTACGCTCAGAGGGGAGGTTATTTTGCAAACAATTTCTGAAAAGTACAACGAGAAAATCGGAAGAACTGAAGTAGAGACCCTGCCGAGCAGTTTATGGCTCATTGTAACCCGAAATTCTTCATATTATTTTAGCTGCTTTACTAAGGTAAAAATGTGAGGAACACTGCTCCTCATAGTGTATTGCCTTAATAAATACAGGCGTGTTCCAACAGGTTTCAAGGACGAAATAGCAAGTCATAATACTTTTAACGTTAAATAGGTATCAGAACCTGTATTTGCTATGTTAGCCCGCTTGTTTAGTAATAACAATAGAAATGGTAACCACAATTTTTTTTAATGTCTGCTTTAGCTGATTTAGCCAAGTGAGAATTTGGAAATTGCCTCGGTTTAACAGCATTCAGACAACGATCTTCCTGGAGAAACATGAATGGTTCAGTCACCACCAATGAAGGTTCTTCAATTTCTCATTTAATAAATGGACTTTAGGTTTACAAATTATCCTCTTGACAATTCAGTATGACACTCAGACTTATAATTTCTGCGGCTCTTAACACACCTTCCTGTACTTTTTGTCAATGCTTTTTTACTCAAATTAAATTTTAAATTTTTTTATGCGACGGATATTGTTTTCAATAAGATACATATTTTTTTTGCAGACACCTTGGGTAGTTTACAAGAACCTGTCACACAAAGACACATATTGTTGATATGCGATGAAGTAGGTACAGCCTGGAGAGACCTGGGTGCTGAGTTAAGGCTTGGATCGCCTGTGGTTCGTAATCTTACTTTTGATTGCAACTCAAACCGCGATAGAGCGTGGGAAGTGATCGATAAGTGGAGACAGAGCAACCCAAATGAAGCGACTGTAGGAAATCTTGCAGATGCTCTAGTGAAGATAGGGATGGGAAAAGCCGCCCAAAAGCTGGTTGGTGCGTAATCTACTGTTTTCATGGGAACTCACTGAGTACCAGGTCCAACTTTTTCCGAGAAATAAGCGCAGGAGGTTTCATTTCAAACGCAGTTAAGAACAGGCAGATTTTGAGGTGTACTTGGATATAAGAATAAAAAATGATGGGTAGAATTTTTGTTGAAAGTAGTGGCTCGTGAGGATTTTTAACGCACAGCTTTTACCAAGGTGATGAGCTCAAGTTTTACGTCAAAACATTGAACTATTTCACCATTAGCAAATCTTATGCGTGCATGTAAATAGCCCCAAGTCAGAAATCCTTTCCGTAATCGAGCACGATGTTACCAGTGTGAGGATATTTATCTAGTTTTTTAGTAAACAGCTTATAACCATACTATCCTTGGTAATGATCTGAAACTCTTTTGTCTCTTTCAATGCAGGAACGGAAAACGTAAAGGCAGATAAAATAAATATAGAAAAAAGGTTGCAATGTCTAGAGACAAAGGTTGAATGGCTGGAGATGGAGAAGTCAACTGAAAAAAGCGTAAAGCAAGGTCCGACGCGCGAGAACACTTGCAAAGGGAAAATCTCCGACGAGATCGACAAGGATCCATGCGTGATGCAAGAGAACATCAAGATTGTCTGTGAAAACGAGAAAATGCCAGTCGGTAGATCATCTGAGCTGGAAAACAATACATCAGATGAAGGGAACGAGAGGCATTTGAATGGAAGACTGGAGGAAATCAGATTGGCAGATCGAATCCAGAAAGACACCATGGAGAGAGATCAGGCGAGCCAAAGACGTAATGGAGTGGAAGTACAACAATGGTATAACGGTAAGTATTCATACTGCTTTCAAGGCCGAGTCAACTGAAATTGGACGATTGATGAATCACCAAGCGATATTGTAGTAACAACATTTTTTTCTTAGTTCATGTTATAAAATATGAAGCACGACATTCGTTAGGAAAGTATGCCAAGTGTGTTGACATTTATTAATCGGTTTAGAAGAGTTGCTACCGTTAGGGACTGGGAATGTCAAATGTTTCATATTTCTTTGCTTTTCCAAAATTTTAAACTTTTTACAGCACTAGTGAGTGGTCTTATCTTATTCAATTTATTTCATTGCTTGATAGTCTTATATTGTAATTCTAGTTTGTCTTTTTTCCTTCATCCAAGGCTCTTGTCCGATCACTACTTCACTGAAAGTTTTGTTCCTAGGTTGTCATTGACGTAATGTTTGAATTGAATTAAATTGAATTATTCTAATCTGAAGGTTGTTTATGTAGAAATGCATATATGTTTGCGATGCCCTAATTTGAAGAAGGAACTCAACGATTTAAAAACAGAAACAGACGCATTAAAAAACAAAATCAGCCAACTTGAGCAAATGCGCGTAGAAGACGAAAAAGAAAAAGAAAAGAAAAGGAAGGACACGAAAAGGAAGGAAAAGATAATCAGAAAAAACAACGCCAAAATCGCTGACTTAGAGGAAACGAATAAAATACAACTAGATCACATAGAGAAGTTAAAAAGAATAAATGAAAAGATTAAGAAGAAGAAAAGAGATCTTGTGGAAGAAAATGAAAAAATGGTGGAACAGATTGGAGAGCTAAAAGCCGATAAGGAGGAACTAAAATTGAAGTTACAATTTCAAACATATCCAGAGGAGCTAGATCAGCTAAAAACTGAAAATAGTGACCTGTCAAGTCAAGTAGAGGAGCTCAAGAAAGAAGTGGAAAGCTCTGAGTCAGAATACAAGAGGCTACAAGAGAAGCTTAAGAAGTACAGCAATTTCCAAAGTCGTAAGCACATATGAACTAAGATAAATGTGCTGTGATATCCGCTGCTAATTTATTTCATTTTAAGGTTGTTTGGCCTTCTGTTAACCCTAACACTATAAAATAACATTTATTTACCATTAAAAATGACATGTTTGATGGTAAGTGAACAGGACAGTAGTTCGACTTTTAATCAATAATAGACCCTATTTCCTCACGATTTATACGTCGATCAATTCCAACCTTCAACATTCCCCCCTCCCCCCGGGCAACCCCCCGGTGATTTAAACTTTTGAAGATTGGTTTGTTCGAATTTCGGCCCTCCG